TCCACTCACCTCGGCCTCCCAAAGTGCTGGGATTACAGACTGAGCCACCAAGTCCGGCCCTTGAATTTGTTTTAACAATCCTTTAAATAAATGTAAAAACCATTCTTAGTTTATGTCTGTACCATCTCCTTAAAAGTGAACTTTATTTTATTTTTGAAATTTATATACCAGGGTGTCCAAAAATGTTTTTACACATTTTAAGAAATGCTATCTGTGTATTACTTTTCAAAGTACTTTTCAGAAGAGTCTGGACACTGATGAGCACCTCTTGTAATTGCAGGAGTCAAATGTGACTTATATTCACCTTTTGTTATTGGTATCTAATTTTCCTTTCTTAAAATATGTATACATTTTTTGACACCATATATTAATTATATATATTTTGAGACAGGGTCTCACTCTGTCATTCAGGCTGAAACGCAGTGGCACTGAAATCCCAGCTCACTGCAGCTTTGACCTCCTGGCCTCAAGTGATCCTCCTATCTCAGCCTCCCAAGTCTGGGGACTGCAAATACCCATAACCATGCCTGGTTTATTGTTTTTTACTTTTTTGTAGAGATGAAGTCTTGCTATGTTGCCCAGACTGGTTTTGAACTCCTGGGCTTACACATTCTTCCTACTTTGGCCTTCCTAAGTGCTGGGATTGCAGGCACAAACCACTCTGGCTGGCCTTTTTTTTTTTAGTTGAGTCTCACTCTGTTGCCCAGTCTGGGGTGCAGTGGCCGCTCCCGGCCACCACAGCCTCAACTCGCTGGGCTCCAGCAATCTTTCTGCCTCAGCCTTCCGAGTAGCTGGAACTACAGGCATGCGCTACCACGCCCGGCTGATTTTTTGATTTATTGTAGAGGTGAGGTCTTGCCAAATTGCTCAGGCGGGTCTTGAACCCGCGGGCTCAGGCAATCCACTCACCTCAGCTTCCCAAAGCGTGGGATTACAGGCTGAACCACTAAGCCCGACTATCATGCATATATTTTATTTTATTTATTTTTTATTTTTTGAGTTGGAGTCTCACTCTGTCGCCCAGACTGGAGTGCAGTGGCCACTCCCGACCACCGCAGCCCCGACCCACTGGGCTCCAGTGATCCTTCTGCCTCAGCCTTCCAAGTAGCTGGAACTACAGGCACCCACTACCACACCCAGCTAATTTTTTGATTTATTGTAGAGATGAGGTCTCGCCAAGTTGCCCAGGTGGGTCTCGAACCCACAGGCTCAGGCAATTCACTCACCTCAGCCTCCCAAGGCACGGGATTACAGGCTGAGCCACCAAACCTGGCTGACTGTTTTTCTAAAAGAAATCTCTAGAGCAGCTCTCATAACTCAAAAACCCTGGCCGATGATCTACCTTTGAAAGCCATCCCACTTCTGTGTATAAGAGAAGACGTGTGTGCTCTGCACCCATCTCCTCACAAAGCTGCGTTAACAGACATGAGTTAAAGGCATGTACCTTAATGTGGTTGATAATTTTAATCACATCCTGCAAAACATCGTTAAGTTCAGGTAACATTTTCCAGCTAGCCAGCATTTCTCTATGGATGACACGGTGCATAGACTCATATTCAGAAGCGACTTCTTTGACTCAAGTAGTGAAACCAGAAAGCTGTCCAGTCATGGCAGTCACTCCAGTCGTGCATATACTGACACAAAATGACCAGTTCAGTTTTCCTGGTATGTAATCATTCAAAGACTTGAATGGTTCTGCAGCTGTGGTATTGGCTGGCAACAAAAGTGTACATAACATATCCTCATACACATCCTCCTGAAAAATATATCTCACAAAAACAAGCATTGTTGCCTTGTCAACATCGGTAGACTTGTCAGCCTGGATTGCCTACCATGACTCATTAATCCTCTCTAACGATTGTGCCTCAGTATCCTCTGCTATTTCATCAGTTCATCTAGTTATGGTGCTAGCTGAAAGAGGAACACAAGCCACCTTTTGAACTGCAGCCTCTCCTAAAAGTTCATGACAAATGTCCTTAGCAGCAGGCAAGATCAACTCTTCACCAATAGTAAAGGGCTTCTTAGCTTAAGCAATGTAGCTAGCTACTAAGCATGATTCTCTTGGTGCAGATACATTTGATGAAGTGATGGCTCTTAATAACTGCTTCTGTTCTTTTTTTTTTTCTGAGTTGAAGTCTCACTTTGTTGCCCAGACTGGAGTGCAGTGACATGCACCCAGCCACCTCAGCCTCAACCTACTGGTTTCCAGGCGATCCTTCTGCCTCACCCTTCCAAGTAGCTGGAACTATAGGCACACACTATCACACCTGGCTAGTTTTTTTATTTATTGTAGAAACGAGGTCTCACCAAGTTGCCCAGGCTGGTCTCAAACCCGTGGGCTCAGGCAGTCCACTTGCCTCGGCCTCCCAAAGTGCTGGGATCGCAGTCTGAGTCACCGACCCCGGCCGCTTCTGTTCTTCATGTTCATGTTTTTGTTTTTCTTTTGAAAAAACTCCAAAGGCTTGTCTTTTGATGCAGGGTGCTTGTCTCAATGTGGCAAGGCAGTTTTGAAGGCTTCACAGTTTCATTGGATAGCTGGTCGCCACATATTATTATGAAGTGGGCTTGGAGAATGCGAATCACCTATTGCAATGAACCTGTAATTTAAGTAGGACTCTGGGTATTTTCTTTTAAAAGCGACTTTCTTGGCCATTGCTTTGTTAAACTCTGGTGTGTTCATGTGGGTCTTTGAGCTATGGCCACCATGTTTTCTTAGCTTTGGGCCCCTCCCCTACCTTGGGGAGGTGAATCCTCTCTCACTCTCTCTCGCTCGCTCTCTTTCTCTCTGTAATTTACTTTCTAAATAAACTTTGCTTGAAAACTTTAAAAAATAAAATAAATGCAGCTTTCTTTTTGTTGGTAGTTTTAGAGTCTTCTGCTGTCTCATCATTGGGTCTTTCCCCCTTTGCAAAGAAGCTCTCCAGTTGCGTTTGGTTTTTTTGCTTACTTTGGCTAGGGTTAGCCTGTGGGCTTACAAAACTGTGACTGAGACAAGTGTGCAGTGTAGGAAATAGGCGTGGATGAAAGTGGTAAATAAAATAATTGATGGGTCACGCATGGACTAAAATAAGTGTCAGATTCTGACTTAAAGCCTACCACCAGATGCAGCTGTACAATTAAAGTACATCAACTCACTTACCACTCACTGATAGGGTTTTGATATGAGTCTGCAAGCAATTGGTTTATTATGGTCTCTGTGCAGTCAAACCTCACTGCTAATGTTAGTCTGTATTTGCAGCCACTCCCCAGCGCTAGCATCACTGCCTCAGCTCCGCCTCAGATCATCAGGCATTAGATTCTCATAAGGAGTGAGCCACCTAGATCTCTCGCATGTGCATTTCACAACAGGGTTTTTACTCCTCTGCTGATCTAACAGCAGACGGAGCACAGGTGGTAATGTGAGCAATGGGGAATGGCTGTACCTACAGACGAAGCTTCTCTCGCCTGCTGCTCACCTCTTGCTGTGTGGGCCAGTTCCTAACAGGTCACAGACCCATACTGGTCGGTGGTTCAGGGGCTAGGGACCCCTGCTGTAGAATATTGCCCTTCCTCCAGTCGTGTGTGGGGATGCCTTTTACTCACACTCACCACGCTAAGCATTAGTCTTTTCACTGTTGCCTCACTAACAGGTGAAAAAAGAACATTTTTTTACTATAATGTCGTTATTGGTAAGGTTGAATATTTGTATGTTTTTAATTGACCGTTTGCATTTCTTCTTTGGCGACTTGTCTGCGCATGTCCTATACACCAGGGCTTCTCAAACGTAATACATGCATTGCAAACCACAATCAACCAAGAATCTTATTAAAATGCAGATTCTGATACAGAATGTCTAGGCGGGGCTTGAGATTCTTAATTTTGAAGCAGCTCCCAGGTGACACCAACGCTGCTGGTATGTGACCCACAATTTGAGCAGCAATCCTTTAAACCTTTATATATTTTTTTTACTGATACGTAAGAGCATTTTATATATTAAGAATAGGCCAGGCTCAGTGGCTCAGCCTGTAATCCCAGCACTTTGGGAGGTTGAGACGAGTGGATTGCCTGAGCCCGAGGGTTCGAGACCTGCCCAGGCAACTTAGCGAGACCTGATTTCTACAATAAATCAAAAATTAGCCGGGCGTGGTAGCACGCGCCTATAGTTCCAGCTACTTGGAAGGCTGAGGCCGAAGGATCGCCAGAACCCAGCAGGTTGAGGCTGCGGTGGCTGGGAGCGGCCACAGTACTCCAGTCTGGGCGACAGAGTGAGACTCCAACTCAAAAACAAACAAACAAACAAAAGAATAGTACAGTGATGCAAATACTTCTCCAGGTTTTTGTGATCTAACTTTTTGATAAATTTTGCTCTGGTTAGCCGGCTTGGTGGCTCAGCCTGCAATCCTGTGCCTTTGGGAGGCTGAAGTCAGTGGATTGCCTGAGCTTGCAAGTTCGAGACCCGCCTGGGCAACTTGGCGAGACCTCATCTCTACAATAAATCAAAAAATGAGCCGGGCGTGGTAGCACGCGCCTATAGTTCCAGCTACTTGGAAGGCTGAGGCCGAAGGATCGCCAGAACCCAGCAGGTTGAGGCTGCGGTGGCTGGGAGCGGCCACAGTACTCCAGTCTGGGCGACAGAGTGAGACTCCAACTCAAAAAAAAAATTTGCTCTGGTTTTATATTTGCATGAATTAAATACGTTAATAGTTTCCTTTGGGGCCAGGTGCAGTGTCTCATGCCTGTAATCCCAGCACTTTGGGAGGATTGCCTGAGCCTAGGAGTTCAAGTCCAGCCTGGGCTGTAATGTTTGGAGATACCAAAAGAGGCACAGGACAAAGGGCTGGTATAAACCAAGCATTTATTGGGGTAGAAACTCCTGGGCGACGTCCCGTGGTCCGGAAAGATGGGCCAGGGGAGTCGCGCCCAAGGAGGAGCAGGCTTGGGTTTTTAAGGGTGCTGTATTTGGGGAGGGTGTTGGGGGCAGCAGTGAAGCGGGGAGACAAAGCATCGCATCCGGTATGGGCTTGAAAGTTTCTGTGTGGCCCGTCTCAGTAGCTGCCAGCAGGTTTCAGGAAGCTGGTATGTGGTTTGTGGGTTTAGGGTGGAGGGGCACATAGGGGATTGGTGGGTGGAGGGGCAGATGGGGGAAGGTGAGTGCTGCTTCTCCCCGGGCCTAACATCCCGACATTTTTGGTATAAGGGGCGTTGACTCAATCTGGCTGCTTCAAGCTGAAAGGGAGTATAGTTTTAGGGGAGGCTGGGATGGGGTGGCTCAGAGGGAAGTGGGGCATATGGATAGGGGTACAGGAGTAGTTGATTGACTGCAACACAGGAAATTTTCTTCATGTGAGACTGCAAAAAATTAAACAGACAGGGTGCAACCATAAGTAAAAGATAAGTAGAACAGGTCCCAAGAATGGCAATGACCCATTGGGCAATGCCCGAGTTTCACCAAGCAGAGAAGGGCGATTCTGCGGTGTTTTTTGGCGAAGTTTGTCTCCCAGCTTTCGGAGGACGTTGACATTTTTCTCTACCAGCCCTGTTTTATTAATGTAGAAACAGCATTTTTCCTGGAGAAACATGCAGGTTTTACCCTGGCCGGCTGTAAGGAGATTAAGGGCCCTGCGGTTTTGTAAAGTAACCCGGGCTAGAGAGGTTATTTGCTGTTGTAGGGATGTCAGGGAGCTTGCAGATGCTTTCAGAGCAGCTTGGAGCCTTTCTTCCAGATTTTGGGAAGAAAGGAGGCTGTGTCCCAGTGCTTCCCTGCCCAGCCCTCCTGCTGCTTCTCCCTGGGCCTAACATGGGCAACTTGTCAAGATCTCATCTCTACAGTAAATCAAAAAATGCTGATGGCATGCACCTGGTCCCAGCTACTTGGAAGGCCAAGGCAAAAGAATCGCCTGAGCCCAGGAGGTTGAGACTGTGGTGAGCCATCACCATGCCACTGTACTCTAGCCTAGGCAACAGTGATTCAAAAAAAAAGGTTCCTTCATGATTTCTGAATTCCAAGTTTCCCCTCACTCTTTGGTAACCTGTTTCTTTTCCCTTTTACTTTCAAGTCCCTATACTAATTACCACTGCTGTTCTGCCTATAGTACAAAGCCAGAAAGCAAGGTGTGGTTCAAACAGCTGTAAAGCACAATGAGGCTTCAGGCTGGCAGATGCTCAGTTCTTTTCTGTCTTTCCTACCACAGACAACAAATGCACTTTATGAGCTGTTTATGGGAAACAGGCTCCAAGCAGCTGTACAGCAACTCTTTCCTCAGCTTCTCATGACACTGCTCATCCAGATCCACCAGAGCATTGGCCTCACCATGTCTGATGTCGCTGTCCCCAGTGGCCTGTACACAGGACAGGAAGTGTCTTCAGAGGTCACCCCTTTGAGGTACAGCCAACGGTGGTTTCATTGACCTTAACAAATACTTACTGAGCACTAGGAACTGTGGTGGACACAAGGATAGCCAAGATGTGCTTTCAACTTGAGGGGAGCGCATAGTTTGCAAGCTATGGGTTTTGGGTACCAAGGAGAATTTGGCTACCTGGGCCCAGATACCCTGAAAAATAATATGTGCTATCATGTCAGCCCTTTCATAATAAATCAAGTAGAGACAGAAACAAACAAAACAGTCTAAACTCACCTGCAAAATTGTATTGATTCGCCATGGAATGATTCATTCTTTTTGTTTTATTGCACGGAGAGATGTTTTTAAGTCACCATTAGAGTCTCAGCGGAAATTTCCTAGTGTTGCCGTGGTACATGAATTTCTTTCAGAGGAAGTACTAAAATGTCACATATTTAAAAACACCAGACTAAGCCGGGCTCGGTGGCTCAGCCTGTTATCCCGCGCTTTGAGAGGCTGAGGTGAGTGGATTGCCTGAGCCTGCTGGTTCGAGACCCACCTGGACAACTTGGCGAGACCTCATCTCTACAATAAATCAAAAAATTAGCCAGGTGTGGTAGCACGCACCTATAATTCCAGCTACTTGGAAGGCTGAGGCAGAAGTATCGCCAGAGCCCAGCAGGTCAAGGCTGCAGTGGCGGGGAGCGGCCACTGCACTCCAGTCTGGGCGACAGAGTGAGACTCCAACTCAAAAGAACACCAGACTAAGAGTCAGTAGACCTGAGTTCTAGCTCTCATTCATCCATTCAACTTACTATCTACCTGGCAGGTCTACTGTTCTGTGCCTCGGTTTCCCTATCTGCAAAGAAAGAGGTCGATCAAAGCGATCTCTAAGAACTCTTCCAACTTTAAGATTCTCTGATGCTATGTCCAGGATAACAGTTAGATAAGTAGATTTCAAAACAGTGGAGATAAATGTTATGGGGTGCAATAACACTTTTAGAAAAATAAGCAGGGCGGGCACAGTGGCTCATGTTTGTAACCCCAGCACTTTGGGAAACCAAGGCAAGAAGATTGCTTGAACCCAGGATTTCGAGACCTCATCTCTACAAAAAGAATTTAAAAATTAGCCAGGTGTGGTGGCACGCCTGTATTCGCAGCTACTCTAGAGGCTGAAGCAGAAGAATCCCCTGAACCTAGAGGAGGTTAAGGCTTCGGTGGTTGTGACTGTGCCACTGCACTCCAGCTTGGGTGACAGAGTGAGATCCCAATTCAAAAAAAAAAAGCAGTATGTGTCTATTTAGCATCTAGATCATTATTCTATCAAAGATTTCCTTCCAAACTCCTGGGGAAACAAGATCTAGTTAGGTTTCTTTATGCTGAGGATTTGTGTAAAGGTCGTTCCAAGTTATTAGAACATTAGGAGTCTTTTGGGAAATCTAGAAAGAAGAGAATTACAGAAAGGAGAGAATTGTGTGCTTGTAAGTTGGAGGGACCTAGTTGATTCACCCATATTGTTTTTGTTTGATTTAGCTTTGCCATGCAGGCTATAAAGACTCTCCTCCTCAAAACATCATGCTTGCAGGAATTCAACATCATGGAAAAGAATAAAGGATGGACTCTTCTGAAGGAAAAAGATTGCCATCTTCAGGGAATATTTCTCCTTGCCAAGTAAGGCTTTCTTGTCACGTATATACCCACCAGCTCTAAATCAGCATTGTTTTGTGTATTTATTTCCCTTTCAATTGTCACAGCCGCTAAGGTTGAATAACCTCCTCATAAGAAGGTGGGCAAATATGCATAAAACCAGGCAAATTTTTCAGAGGTCCTGGCCCTGCCATACCCTCCTGTATTCCTGAAGCTGGGCAACAGCATCCTAGCCCTCCAGCCCTGAGAAAATGCCCCTGGGTAGGAGCATTACTGAATGTTGTTCTGTCGGTGTTGTGTTTTACAGTGCATTGCTGAAAAGAAATTGTTCCTGTGCATATAAGGTCATGTACTTGCTAGTCCCTCTTCTTAATCGAGGGAATGACAAACATAGACTCACATCTGCAGGCTTTTTTGTGGAGGTAAGACTCATTTTTCAGAAGCTAGATTCAGGCCTATACAGCAGCAGTACCTACCCTCCTGGGATAGATCCAGTTAGTGACTGGCTGGGATCCATTTCAGGTGTGGGATAGAAATACTCTTCAGATTCAAGCCCACCGAAATTCTTCCCACACATGTGTTATTCAGTATTCTTTGTTTACCTACAGGGTGCATCACCCTGGAGCGTATGTGCTGTGTTATAGAGATTTAAAAGGAAAATATGTATTTTGGAGTTGGTGGGAAGATAGCTCCCTCATGAAAGGGGGCTTAAAGGTAATTTCACTGGCTGATTTCTGGGTTCTTTCAGCTTCTCCAGAGTCCAGTGGGCAGGAGACTGCCCAGAACATACTCCATTGCCCGCCTGAAAGACTGGCTATATAATGGAAATCATCTCTTTAGAATCATTGGCCTGAGGGGACTGCACAATCTTGCCAAACACCAGGATTTGGTAGGAGGGCTCCCAAACCCCTGATTCTTAAGTCACAAATAAAATACCCAAAAAGGATACCTAATAAATTGAAAAGAGCTGAGGAGAACTGGGTACCCTGGGATGGGGAGGGGTAAGAACATCCTCATAGCTTTTTTCTGAACATCCTTTTGTACCATTTGAATTGTGTACTTAGGAAATATGCAAGTACTGACTATTAAAAAATTAATGGAAGTAAAAGAAATAAATACATCCCAATTCTATACATTCATAATAGTGGACACTACAACTTAGTGGAATCCTCATGGTCATCACAACCTGGACGACATCCAGGCATCCCTTAGGCCTTGTACCCTGTTGCCCCATGGAGTAGACGCTGACATTCACGTTGAAGAAAGCTCATCTTCTAGAGGTCTGGCGAGGAGACCAGATCTCAGCCAGAAGAGGCAAAAGACCCCAAGGCTTCAGTTTTGCCACTTCAGTTGTATTTCTGAGTATATGTCTGAGCATCACTCTTGTTACGCAGGCTGGAGGGCAGGGGTGCAGTCATAGCTCGTTATAGTCTTGAACTCCCAACCTCAAGCGATCCTCCCACCTCAGCTTTCCAAAGTGCTGAATTACAGATGCAAGCCACCATGCCCAGCTATTTCTTTTATTTAAAAACATGTATACATATCTGAAGCAAAAATGACAAATGTTAATATATGTTCATTCTGATTGAATGCATTAATACTAACCATTGCTATATTTTACTTACTTTTTCACATGTATGTTTTAAACTTTACAACCCAACCAGGTGCAGTGCTCCCACCTGTAATCCAAGCACTCTGGTAGGCTAAGGCAAAAGGATTGCCTGAGCCCAGGAGTTTGAGATCAACTTGGGCAACACAGCCCTCTACAAAAAATTAAAAATTTAACTGGATTTGGTGGCACACGCCTGTAATCCCAGACACTCTGGAGGCTGAGGCAGGAGAATCCCCTGAGCCCAGGAGTTCGAGACTGCAGTGAGCTGAGATCATGCCACTATACTCCAGCCTGGGTGATAGAGTAAGACTCCGACTCAAAAAAAAGTAATAAATTAAAAAAAGAAAAGAAAAAACTCATTTTACAACCCTGGGACTGCTTCCTTCCAGGTGTTTCAGAAGAGCAGAATCTCAATTTAGAAGGGGAAGGTCCCTGAGGGCCCTCGGATTCCACTTGAGTTCCTACTGAGGATCTTTGAGATACTGTGCATGTTTGGGAGCTCACGGTGACCTGAGCTAACCATTCCTCCGGCCTCAGTGTTAGTAGAGGTCTTCTTCACAGTGACCCCAGGTTTCCAGGGCTAGACCTCCCTCACTATAGCTCGGCCCCTCCTCTTTGTATCAAGCCTGCTAGTACAGAGAGAGGGCAGTCATGTCCTCTGCTTCTCCCTTCTGGACTAGCCAGAGCTACCAAAATTCCATAAGCACCAGGTACTGAGTAAAGATAGGGAGCCCTCCCTTTGGTACCAGAGGACATACTGGTAGGAGAGAAGGTGACGTGCTCTCTTTGTACACACAGAGGGAAGACATCGAGAGTTTGTTGCCATGCGTCTTAATCAGCTTATGTGAAGCTGATAAGGAGATTGTTCTGTTGGCCATCAAGGTACTCCTGCAACTTGTCAGGTCACTGGATATCACTACCCTGGCCGCCATGATGAGGACCCTGTTCTCCTTATTTGGTGATGTAAGACACTGAGACAGGCGAGACTTTATTCCTAGGGGAAGGGTAACTAGCATAGCAGCAAGCAGAAGTCAGGATAGAAATAAGCACACTCTAGCCGGGCTCGGTGGCTCAGCCTGTAATCCCGCACCTTTGGGAGGCTGAGGTGAGTGGATTGCCTGAGCCCGCGGGTTCGAGACCCGCCTGGGCAGGCGAGACCTCATCTCTACACTAAAATAAAAAAATTAGCCGGGCGTGGTAGTGCATGCCTGTAATTCCGGGTACTCGGAAGGCTGAGGCGAAAGGATCGCCGGAGCCCAGCAGGTCGAGGCTGCGGTGGCCGGGAGTGGCCACTGCACA